TGGTTGTGACCCTGACCACCCCTCTGTCTGACCCTTGTACCTCGCTGCTTGCTACCTGCTGATACCTGGCCTGGCTGACCCAGACCATTCTCTGCTTGCTCCCCGTGTTACCCTACATTGCCAATTGATATTGACCTGGCGCTGCCTGACTCGACGCCTTGCTTGTATGTACTGTTATCTGTGGGTGGTTGGTTTGGTTTTGTTTGCACTGTATTATGTTTAGTATTGCCCTGCGTTTATGTTTGTATGGTTAGTGTTAATAAATTATAGTGTTTATTCACATTTCTGAAGTCTGCGTTTCCCTGCATCAGTCACACATCTACTGGTCATACACCTGGGAGCCCTGACAGCCAGCTGCGTCTACCTACTCCCCAGCCCGTCACTCCTGTGAGCACCGGATGGGCAGAGTGGAGAGCAGTGCCTGACAGTCACCACTCTACTACTCAAGAGCTGACCAATTAGTGGTCATGTTAAATTTTCAAAATTTCCCACTGAAGAGTCTATAAATCATGAACATTGTGTGTGCCAGAAAGAGACTCCAGAGCCTTCACACACCATCCACCACTAGTGAGGACACAGAGCCTCTTACCAAAATTATAATTGACCTTCTATGTGTATTGTGTGTGGTCAAATAGTGCTTGTCAATTTGGATTTCCAAAGTCATGCACATCTAAGGTTCAACAGCCTCCATGGACCTCATCCACTCACCCACCCAGGTTCAGCTGATACCACTTTCTCATGTGTCTGAAACTCCCTCCTTGCCAGGGTCGAAAGGCATCCAACTCCCATAAACATTCAACTCATGAAAGGCAAATAAACAACAGACTCATGGTGTAGAATAGAACCAACATTTATTAAAACCACATATACACTTCACATGAGTAGTAGAATTTGATATGCATTATCGTACCAAAAATGTTGGACATGGAGCTTATGCTTAATGACGTCCTGAACTCCACCCTCCACTCGTCTTCGTCATATGGTGATGTCATCAGGGGCATTACCAGTGACCATCATCATGCTATAAATATAATATCAGAAGAGCGACCTCCCACCCCACCATATGTGTTCCAAGACCAGAACTGATTTAGCCCGCCCGAACTGAAAGTCGCTCTAACCACTTGCGTTCCAAAGACCGGATGTTGTAATGTCAGTGAAGGCAAAAAAGACATTCTTCTGTCCCGCCACAGTTCTCTGAAAAATGGAAACTGATAGAAGGACTTTTTAATCAAGTTGATCTTCATGTCCCCCAGGGGGTGCCAACTTCTTTGTGGGAAGCCAGCTGTGACTTCCTGGTGTTTTGTAGCCAGCTATCCGCTGCACATACGTAAGATGAGATGTGCTTTCTCAATGGTCCTGCAGTCTCCTCTAGGACAATGCAATGTGTCCCAGGAGGTTGTGGGTGGAGTTGAACTTCTGCACTTAGGCTGCTCAGAAGTGAGAGTGGGTACCTGTCAGAAATAGGTATTTACCTCTAGGAAAAAAAAATTCTAACAATGAAAAGAGGAGGAGGGAGAAGGATGAGAGGAACTTCTCTTTTCACATCACATTCTACTATAAGTTTTGATAATTTTGTTTTTTTAAAATTTCAGCACAAGGGAAAGTACCTACAATACATAAAACAGTATCCCTGTCTGGAGTAAGATGGACCTGGCCAGCAATTGTGGGACTCGCCTGCCTTATGGGATGCAGTACCAGGGCTGGCCAGCGGGTGCTCCCAGCAATTCAGAGACTCAACCTTGCAGCATCCACTCTAAACACCTGAAACTGCTTATTACTGGTGCTGTATTTAAGGGATGGCCAGACCTGCAGACTCTGCCTTGGTGTGTGTTTTTTCCTGGCCCTGTATCCTGTTCCTGCATTCCTGTTCCTGGTCTTGTTGCTGACCCTGCCTGATCTGACCTCTGCTGACTTCTCCTGCTCTGACCCCGGCTTCGTTCCTGACCATCCTCTGCCTGACCCTCTGTACCACGCTGCCCGCCCCCTACCTGCTGAACCTGGCTTGTGACCCCGATCCCATTCTCCGCTTGCTCGCCCCTGTACCTACCTGCCCGATTGATATTGACCCGGCCTGCCTGACGACGCTTTGCATTTGTATGTACTGTTATCTGTGGGTGGTTTGGTTTGGTTCGTTTGCACTGTGTTATGTTTTAGTATGGGCACTGCGTTTATGTTTGTTATTGTTAGTTGTTAATAAATTACTATTGTTTATAACATATCTGAAGTCTGCGTTTCCCTGCGTCAGTCATCACACCTGCTGGTCATACCCGGGAGCCCTGACATTACACCAAAGGCCAATCCTGACCAGGAGTGGCTGCACAGGGAAGCCATCTTGAGGTTTGTTGATGGTAAGGATGGATCTTGATGAGGTTGTGTATTTATATCTGCTAGTGTTTGATGACAGAGAGTATGCTTATCAGACTCTGAAGGAGTATCCCGGGATCATAACTACTAGAGTGTATAACGGATTCGCTCATGTTCTAGTATTGATCAGGGCACAGAATTCTCTGAGGTGCAGCCATTGATTCAGATTTGTGCGGAGTTGTTTCATCCTGGTACCTGCATACCCCCGAATGCTTGGGATGAATTTTTTCCACCATTTAGTGCAGACCAGGTAGCAGTCCCTGGTCATGGTTATTAGAGGATGATGTGGATTGCTTCTTGGGGAGCGTTATTTCTGCATGTTCACCACAGATTACTAAGAGATTGTATAAACGCAGTGCAGTCTTTGACCAGGACAGGCTTTGTGTAAGCTCAGCTTTGTTCAACCCCATACTGCAGACATGGTGACAGATTTGTTGCACCCAGCCTCAGTCAGCCTACAAAAACCCAGTTCCTGCTTCTAGAATCTATTTCCTCAAAGCTCTATTCCTGCATTCCCAACAGCTCCTCCTGCCTGCTATCTACCGCATGTCAGGTACCCTGTTCCCCCCACTCGCTGCACCTATCCTGCCTTTAACCCTGTAAAAAAAAAGCCCTCTGTAGCAACGCTCTTGCTCCCATCCCCTGTTCCATCCTCCAGCTCTTCTCTGTCTCCAGCTTCTCCATTTGCCCGCGGTCATGCCATCCTGCCGTCTGAGAACCTGCCTTCCGTGGTTCAGCCTGGTGCCTCGGCACCCGCACTTCAACCTGATGTCTGTACCCGGCCTGATGCCTGTACACCCAGCCTGATGCCTGTACCCAGGCCTGATGCCTCTATTCAGCCTGATGCCCTCTATTCAGCCTGATGCCTCTACTCAGCCTGATGCCTACTACTCAGCCTGAAGTGCCTCTACTCAGCCTGATGCCTCTCTTCAGCCTGATGCCTCTCTTCAGCCTGATGCCTCTCTTCAGCCTGATGCCTCTACTCAGTGCCCTTGGGGGGGGATGCCTCTACTCACCCTGAAATGCCTCCCACTCAGCCTGATGCCTCTACCCAGCATGATGAACTGATCCAGCCTGATGATCCTATTAGGCCAGTTGACTTCGATGCCCGCTGTTGATATCCAGATGATCCTGGGTACCTGATCCGGTGCCCGCTGTCGTCGCCAATTGACTCAGAGCCCGCTGTCGTACCTGGTGGACTCGGTGCCCACTGCCCTTGCCAGATGACGCGGTGCCCGCTGGCGAAAGCCAAATGACCTGATGCCTGGTGACCCAGTGCCCGCTGTCATACCTGGTGACCCGATGCCCGCTGTCGAGCCAGACGATCCAATGCCTGGTGACCGGTGAGCCCCACTGCCTTGCCAGATGACGCGGTGCCCGCTGGCAAGCCAAATGACCTGATGCCTGGGTGACCCAGTGACCCAGTGCCCGCTGTCATACCTGGTGACCCGATGCCCGCTGTCGAGCCAGACAATCCGTACCTGGGGGGATGACCCGGTGCCCGCTGTCGTGCCAATTGAGTCACAGCCCACTGTCGTGCCTGGTGACTTGGTGCCCACTGTCTTGCCAGATGACGCGGTGCCCGCTGTTGAGCCAAATGACCTGATGCCTGGTGACCCGATGCCCGCTGTCCAGCCAGACGATCCAATGTCTGACCCATGTGCCCGCGGTCATACCAGTTGACTCGGAGCCTCACTGCCTTGCCAGATGACGCGGTTGCCCGCTGTCGAGCCAAATGACCTGATGCCTGGTGACCCGATGCCCGCTGATCCAAGCAGACGATCCAATGTCTGACCCAGTGCCCGCGGTCATGCCAGTTGACTCGAAGAGCCCACTGCCTTGCCAGATGACGCGGTGTCCGCTGTCGAGCCAAGTGACCTGATGCCTGGGTGACCCGATGCCCGCTGTCCAGCCAGACGATCCATTGTCTGACCCAGTGCCAGCGGTCATGCCAGTTGACTCGGAGCCCACTGTCGTGCCTGGTGACCCCGTGCCACCCGCCGCCCGCACCTGGAGGCCCGAGACCTGTCGCTCCGCCTGGGGGCCCGAGACCTGTCGCTCCGCCTGGGGTCCGGCGCCCGCGCCGCTCCGCCTGGGGGCCCGAGACCTGTTCGCTTCTCCGCCTGGGGGTCCGGCGCCCGCCGCTCCGCCTGGGGGGCCCGATCCTTGCCTGTCGCCCCGCCTGGGGGCCCGATGCCTGTCGCCCCGCCTGGGGGCCCGATGCCTGTCCCCCTCCTGGGGGCCCGGCACCTGCCGCTCCGCCTGGGGGGCCTGGCGCCCGCCGCTCCCGCCTGGGGGCCCGATGCCTTGTCGCCCCCCGTCTGGGGGCCCGATGCCTGTCGCCCCGTCTGGGGGCCCAGCACCCGCCGCTCTGCCTGGGGGCCCGATGCCTGTCGCCCCGTCTGGGGGCCCGATGCCTGTCGCCCAGCCCTGGGGGCCCGATGCCTGTCGCCCCCGCCTGGGGGCCCGGTGCCTGCTGCTCCCGCCTGGGGGGCCCGGGGCCTGCTGCTCCGCCTGGTGGCCCGCTGCCTGCTGCTTCGCCTGGTGATCCGATGTTTGTGCCTCTGCCCGGGAGTCCAGCCCGATGTGCCCTCTGCCCGGAGTCAGGCCCCGATGTGCCTCCGCCCGGAGTCCATCCCGATGTGCCTCCGCCCGGGAAGTCGCCTGCCCGATGTGCCTCCGCCCGGAGTCCTGCCCGATGTGCCTCCGCCCGGAGTCCTGCTCGATGTGCCTCCGCCCGGAGTCCTGCCCGATGTGCCTCCGCCCGGAGTCCAGCCCGATGTGCCTCCGCCCGGAGAGTCCAGCCCGATGTGCCTCCGCCCGGAGTCCCCCAGCCCGATGTGCCTCCGCCCGGAGTCCAGCCCGATGTGCGATGTGCCACTGCCCGGAGTCCTGCCCGATGTGCCGCTGCCCTGGAGTCCAGCCCGATGTGCCACTGCCCGGTGTGCCGCTGCCCGGAGTCCAGCCCGATGTGCCGCTGCCCGGAGTCCAGCCCGATGTGCCGCTGCCTGGAGTCCTGCCCGATGTGCCGCTGCCCGGAGTCCAGCCCGATGTGCCGCTGCCCGGTGTGCCGCTGCCCGATGTGCCTCTGCCCGGAGTTCTGCCCGATGTGCCCTGCCCTGCCCGATGGGCCGCTGCCCAGAGTCCTGCCCGGTGTGCCAGTCTTTTATATCCCGCCAGTTACCAGACCCGGGCGGTGGAACATTTTGCCCAGCTAGGACTGTTTGGAGCATCCTGAGGCCGCTCCTTGAGGGGGGGGTACTGTCAGGAATGGACTGGCCAGCAATGGTGGGACTCTGCCCTGCCTTATGGGCTGCAGTAAACGGCTGAAACTGCTTATACTGGTGTATTTTTCCTGCAGGCCCCTGTTTCCTGTTCCTGCATCCTGTTCCTGTTCCTGTCTTGTTGCTGACCCTGCCTGATCTGACCTCTGCTGACTTCTCCTGCTCTGACCCCGGCTCGTTCCTGACCATCCCTCTGCCTGACCCTCTGTACCACGCTGCCCGCTACCTGCTGAACCTGGCTTGTGACCCCGACCATTCTCCGCTTGCTCCCCCTGTACCTACCTGCCCGATTGATATTGACCCGGCCTGCCTGACGACGCTTGCATTGTATGTACTGTTATCTGTGGGTGGTTTTTGGTTCGTTTGCACTGTGTTATGTTTTAGTATTGCACTGCGTTTATGTTTGTATTGTTAGTGTTAATAAATTATATTGTTTATAACATATCTGAAGTCTGCGTTTCCCTGCGTCAGTCACACACCTCTGGTCATACCCGGGAGCCCTGACAGTCCCTTGTGCTGGTCTCTTAGTTGAAATCCTTTGTCCCTCCCATACCCCTGAAGCTCTAATCTTCTAGTGCTAACAAATACACTAGATGGCGCATACAAGTTGTCAAGGTATAGGGGCCCTGCCAATTATTAATCCTCTTATTAATCCCCCATATCATATGTCCCTCAGCGTCTCGCTCTGTATGTCCCGTGTCACTCGGCCAAATGGCCTAATTCAATTACTGTGGCCCCCCTCCCTCCCGGCCAGCTTGCTGCCAGCTCGCCGCACACCTCCCAAATTGCCTTTCATAAATGCTGACACCCGGCCCCTCTTATGTCCCCGGGGGGTCCGGTGTCACCCTGCCCCTCAGAATGTCCCTGTCACCAGCCTGATTCATCCCTGGGGTCTAGTGTCCCCCCCCCCTCCACCTCTCATCCTGCTGCATGGGATGAGACGTGCGACTTCCACCACCCCTGTCCTATCTTCTCCCTCTCCAGCTGTGGCTGGAGAGGAGAAGGTGGCGAGATTCACACCTCTCCGCGGAGGGGTGCAAACCTCCCACAGGGATGGCCCGGGCTCCGGCATCTAGCTGACGCCACTTCAGCCCTGACATCTGAAGTGCGAGCATGCAAGGTTCCCGCGCTTGCAGATGTCCCTGGACAAGGGCCGCGCTCACAAGAGGCCCGGCCCTGGTTGCCTAGATGACCAGGAAGCGTCCTGCATCAGCTTAAGAAGCTGATGCCGGGCGCTCCGGTCATTTTTCTGCTGTGCAGCCACCGAAGGAGCCCAGCTGCGGTGGGACCTTCGTGGCTAGACTCTGCAAGCCCCCCAGCCTCACGGGGACCCGCACCTAAGCCGGCCAGAGACCCCACAGCATAGGGGAAGATTGCCAGAGACTGCCTGCCATTTCCAGAGACCCCACAGCATAGGGGAAGGTTGCCAGAGACTGCCTGCCATTGCCAGAGACCCCACAGCGTAGGAGGAGATTGCCAGAGGTTACCTGCCAGCACCAGAGACCCCCAATCCAGGGGAGGGTTTGCCAGTGACCCCCAGCATAGGGGAGAGATTGCCAGAGATTACCTGCCAGCACCAGAGACCCCAGTCCAGGGGAGGGATTGCCAGAGACCCCAGCATAGGGGAGAGATTGCCAAAGATCACCTGCCAGTGCCAGAGACCACCCGCATGATCCAGACTCTGCAGGTACCTGTGTTCTGCTTCTACCCCAGTGCCAGAGACCACCCGCGTGATCCAGACTCCGCAGGTACCTGTGTTCTACTTCTACCCCTGGGAGACCAGGCAATCTGTCGGATCCATGAGTACATGCTTTCCCCCTGTCTTACCTGAACTGTTGCTGAACTGACCCCCCCCCCCCTTTGTCGATTACAATTGCTACAGAGACTCTCCTTGGCTCTCTGTGTTGGACTATAAGTGGGTTGGCCCCTCTTCGCTACCCTTTACTGGCAATTCACCCTCCCTACCAGTTCCTTTATTGAATGACTGTCATCTGTTTGTCTCAATAAAGCTTTGTGCATTTGCCATCTACTCTGTGTGTTGTGTCCTGCCTACCCTCCGTCACACGAGTAGATAAACACTAATGGTCAAAAAGCATGAATAAATCCCATATAATCCATAAAAAGGTCAATCCTACTCTGATGGCAGCTCCTCGGAGACTGAAGCGATCTTTGTAGATAAGAACAAACAACAGAGGGCGATCTCTGTAATATATCTTAAGTGATATGTGCACCATCTGATTTTCACTTTCACTTTGTATTTTTTTAACAAAGTGTACATCTAATACTACAGCAAGATCAGTGCTCTCTGTTTGTTCTTATCTTCTGGTGCTGTTGGGTTAATACAAACCACTGCACCTGTCATGAGCAATTTTCAAAAGTGCAAACTATGACCTCCTCTTCCGCCCCCTTCTCTGTTCATAGCAGCTGTAATAAAGCTTTCATGAATGGAAAGTGGTTTGTGAATGGAGGAGGCTGACCTTTCCTTCATCCCACAGTCTTCCGTTCATAGTGCACTTTTCACAGATGAAAGCTATAGTACAGCTTCTATAATTAAGAAGGGGTTGAAAAGGATGGGCATAGTTGGCACTGTTCACGAGTACATGACAGGCCCAAGGCTTGTATTAACCCCTGCAGCTCTAGACGATCATGGGTATGGGCATAGGACTTTAAGACAGCAGCCATCAGCGTAAGGGACACCTGTTTGCTGTGATAACCTCTGTTTGGCTATTACAGTGATCAGTCACTGTGCAGCCCACCCGTTTTCTTTCTCTCTGAATGGAGGGAGAGTTACATTGTATCTCTCTCTCCTTGCAGGAAGAAAAAAAAATAACTGTGTAAAAAAAAAAAAAAAAGAGTGAACAATAAAGAAAAAATAGCAAGGTTTGATCTAGGTCGGTATTAGGGTTAGTGTGTGGGTCAACAGTCAGGATCAGTAGATTTTGGATGGGATTTTAAAAACAAACAAACATTTTTTAACTTTGTATCAGTTAGTGTCAGTGTGTGTTAGGTAGGATACAAAAAGCAAAATGCTCACTGTTGTTTCTGGGCCATACTATGGGTAAAAACAACAACTAACATACACATATGTGGTATCGCTGCGATTGTAGAATTTATTTTGAGTTGGTCTTTGGTGGTAGGTTATGGTAGTAGCAAGTGATATACAGCTAAATTTAAAAAAATGATTTTTTTTTTTACTATTTTGGGACGGTTTTCCTATGATAATAAAAAAAATCAGGAGATATCCATTCCCATTTACCATGAAAAGATAGTCAATTTATCCTGAAAAAAAAAAACAAGGTATAATCCACCTGGATGCACAAAGTAGTTGTGATGATATGTACAGTTTTACTAACACACGTCAAAGTTGCAAAATTGTGCTCAGGCATTAACATTTTACCCTCAGTCACTTAGTGGTTAAATTAGAACTATAGGCAAAACTTTTTTTTTCCATTTTGGATAGAGTGAGGGAAGGTCATAACCCAGCAGAT